CAGTTCCTGTGCTAGTCAAGCTCTGAAATTGCCTGAATCATCATGTTCTTGAGGGGCAGAGAAAGAAATACCCAGTTTCTGTGAAGGAATGGAGCATAGGCAAGATGTCAAGATGAACTGGTCAGATAGGGGAGTTATAGATGTGCACAGATAGAGGGAGAGAAACTTCAATAGCAGCCTCTAGAAACTTCACACCACCACAGCTGAGTACCTTCTCAGCAAGTCTTTTACTGTTTTATTGCCTGTCCACATATTTGGATTTATAACTAGATTCCATAAAAGGCCTAGAAGTGACATTTCACATGCCCTGGGGACATGGCTCTTTCTGATAGTCTCTCAGCACAAGTTCCAGTATTTCCATCTGGTGGGTTTGATTTTTCCTGAGAACAGGACAGATGGCCTGTCATTTAGAGATACCATTATCAGCACAAAATGTTCAAATGGACAGTTAATATTTTACAAGGGTGGTATCTTACAGTGTTCCCCTATGCAGAGCTTCATGAAAGGAGTGTGGAAGTGGTTTAAGTAGAAGCCGTTTGAAACCAGCAGAGCATCAAAAGTAAAAAAAAAAAAAAAAACCAAAAAACCCCAAAAAACAAAAGGTAAGAAAGAGTAAGAATGACCCAGCTGCTGCATTTCCCTTTAACTACATAAAATATAACCTCAGATCATTGGTATGAATTAATTAAAATTAGTATTAAATGTTAATGTTTTGCTATTCATCAATGTACTACAAATTTAATGTTATCATAAGAGCATTAACATAAATATGTACTCTCACAAAGGACTGAAATGTACACAGATTACTTTTTATTGACTTTACTTATCATTACAGATTACTTATTGCTGAGTCACTGTTTGGCATGAAAACACAGTAACTGGAGACTGAGCTTTGTTGAAATAGGGAGAACATCCTTTACCACATCAATCACTTGCTCATTTGATTGTTCCAGATGAAAAAAATCTGTAATTTTTTCTTCAATTATTTCCCTAATGTAACCAAACAAGCTACAAAAAACCATCAAAAATGTAACTACTGAGATGGACAAACCAGCACTTCATAGGGAGACAACAGAGTTAACAAGCAGCTCTCCTGCAAGTGAAGCTCTTTGGGAATAGGAAGTTCTACCCTGAGAGGCAGAGGTGGGGTCTGTACATGAGGCACAACTGATGTGTGACACCAATGAGCAGGTGTGCACAGTGATGTTCAGGCTACACAGCAGAGGGAAACATAAAAAAAAAGTCCTTATAGATAACTGAGAAAAGGAAAGAGATTCTTATTTTCCTTATAATAGCTATTGAGAACTGCTATACAGGCACTTTTGAACCTGACAGTCAGAAACAACTACAGTTTCTGTCTTGCCCAGACAAACAAAGCACTTCACCTGCAGCAAGGCTGGTGAGCACCTAGTGACAAGTCCTGGATAATGACAGGCAAAGTAGGAGGCACAAAAGATGACAGAGACAAACCCAAACATTTTCACAAAACAAACAAGGGAGAAACCTCCCAAGCCTTTAACCAAAATCACTTTCAGGATCAGGTGTTTTATGTCACCTGTATCATCTTTCATCTCGCTCTGCTCCAGACTTTCTTTGTACCTTCAAAGCTCTTTGTGATGAAAATAAAGCATCCCAATTTTTGTAGTGGTACGCACCTCACTGAAACCTCAGAGCTTTTACTCCACCCCACGTAAACAGAAGAATGCCTGAAGTGACATATAAATGCCTTTGAGACTTAATTTATGCATCTCCTGAAGCCTGCTGACTAATTTCAAACACTACAAACAAGGGGAAAACCTTTTCCTGTCACCATTGGGAAGGCTTTAATTTTACCTGAAAATCCAAACAGCTGCAAATCACTGACAGGCTTTTGCTGTCTACGAAAATAAAGGGAAATGCAACCTCCGTCAAACTGGAGGAGAACATTTTAATTCTCCAGCAAGTTAAACAAAAATATAGTAAAACACAGGATGAAGTAAATTCTGAACAAACTTGGTATTTGACCCCTGTCTAGAAAGCATAGACTGCTGAAACATGCTTGTCCTCATTTTTCAGATTTGCCAAGGAATATTAATGGTTTTTCCCACACTTCACATCCAACTTTCTTCTTTTTCATCTTCCTGCTCACTTGCTCTGATGTTTCAGACTTCCAGTTCACCCTTCTCAGCTATAGAACTATCCTTTTCCCTCATCTCCCTGGAGAATTCCCCTTGAAAGTCTGCTCCTGCCTTGGAGTCATAGCTCTCCAGAAAATATTTGTCTAAGTGATCCACTTAGGTGCAGAGTGAACAACCACCCGAGTTTTATCTGAAATGGGAGGTAAATACCTCCCGTTCTTAACTAATCTGCTGTTGTTTACTTGAATCTGCTTTCTTAAACGGCCTGTTTCAGGGAAGAGGGTTGGCTTCAGCTTGCTTCAGGGAAGACAGATGGCTTTGTAGTAAAAATGTAATACATGAATGCTAAATATATAAGCAGGATGTTGTATTTGCATTTAGGTTTGCTATCTCAAGCGTGATGGAAAGAGTGCTATGATGGACGGCTTCCAAATGTTTTTGTACAGCACAAGGTGAATGAATAACGGTATAAGAAACGGCTCTTTTAGGAAGGAGTTATTAGAAATATTCCTATATGAAGAAGTAATGCTTAATCTCTTAAATATTTTTGTTTGTTTTGTTTTGTTTTACTTTTGGTTTGAACTCTGGACAGAGGCTTTGTTTTTTCCTGCTACTTTTACAGCTTTGGAAGATGTTAATTTGGGAGATTCAGCTGTTATTTGGAAGTAGGTCTGGAAGGTGATGTCCAGGACGACCTAACTTTTCTCACTCAATTTATTGCAATGCTTATTATGAAGGTTTCTTATCTGTTGAAGAGATGCTGACTGGTACTGCCCCTCCCGTTTCCCCAGGCTCCTGTATTGCTATCTTTGTCTCTTTTTTAAAAAACAGGTAGTTTGTGAAAAGCAGCCTTTTGTTCTGCTCTTGCTCCTGTACATTACACAGTGCCTGCTACTCTTGCACTGCCATGAAAAAGCCAAATCAGTAGCAGAGCTGGAGTGACAAGAGGCCACTTGTCATTCTTTTCTCATGAAAAAGCAATGGCATCTGTACAGATGTAGGATACATCCAGGCTATTTGGGATTTCCTGTTAGTTTTCAGGTGAAGCACCCTGTACCAAGGAAAAAACTTGTTTAAATCCCTGTCTTTGTTTCTTTTAGTATTTTACATTTCTTCAGGAAAAAAAATTGTCATCTCTGTATTATACCCTGCTGCTTGAAAATGAGCTGTTCCAGAGGACAAGAAATTTGCCAAGTGTTTTCCAAGGGAAATCTCAGACATGGATCTTTGTGCTCTCACTGGACATTTTTTAACTTCCTAGTTACACCTAAAGCTGTTATGGTACAGTAGTATTATATTAGAGCAAAGTAATTTTGGTTGGGATAATGAGGCTTAAAAAATATTTAGTTAGGAACTGAACAGCTGGGGACTTGAGTTGTGCCTTGGCTGAGATGGCTGAGCCACTGCAAGCGCACCATCTGGAGAAAGAATTCAAAGCATCAAACAGTGGCATTTGGTCAGGCTGTGTTCAGGCTTCCTCCAGGCAACTTTGTTCTACCTCTTGTCTCTTCTTTTGCCTGTGCAGCCTCTCTTCTTTTCCACTCCTTAAAGCCATTTAGCTATTCATTTTGTTCCTTTTTGGTGGCTTTGAAGAAGCGAATAGGCTACAATTACGGGAAGTTCTCAACCAGTTAGGCTGGTTGTCTTGGAGAATGACCTCCAGTAATGAAAAATAAGCTAGTAAATAGGTAAATCACTATTTTTGTCGGTGTTTAATACAGCTTTAATTAAGATATGACTGCATAGAAGGGGATAGAAAGGAAAAAGAAGACAAAAAAGAACTGCTGGCAGACTTGAAGCTGGGAAGCACATGAAAAGAAAATGTAATATTTCCAGCCCTCACTGAGGCACATGTTCTTCTGGCCTTTTCACAGACCTCTTCTGAGGCAGCTAGATAATCTGCAGGAAGAGGGAAAATAATTAGGCAAAGGCCTCTTTTGACTTTCACTATCTGCTACATTGAATAAGAATTTTAGGTGAAGGTTTCTTCTAAGTGTTAATCAGCAGAGGAATTAATCACATTTCAATTATGCATTGTAGGCTTCAGAGTGAACAGCCTACTTGCAGATCGTGGCTAGCTTTGATACACTGCTTCTGTCGTACCATCTGCAGACGCAGTAGAGAAAGTCCAGATGCAGTATTTCCCAGCCATTCTCTATTAAATATATGGAATTCAAGTGGTGTTTCAGGGAAGTTTCATCCCCCTTGTCAGTCCACAGTGGTCCAGAGTTACTGGATGTACTAAAACAGTGTTAACAGTAAACAGTAAATCACAGAATCAACTAGGTTGGAAAACAGTGCTGAGATCGTCAAGTCCAACCTGTGACACACCACCACCTTGTCAACCAGACCACGGCACATCCAGTCTCTTCTTAAACACCTCCAGGGACAGTGACTCCACCATCTCCTTGGGCAGCCCATTCCAGTGCCCAGTCGCTCCCTCTGTAGAGAATTTCTTCTCAATGTCCAACCTTAACCTCCCCTGGCGCAGCTTAAGACCGTGCCCTCGTGCCCTGTCGCTGGTTGCCTGGGAGAAGACACCGACCCCCACCTGGCTACAACCTCCTTTCAGGGAGCTGTAGAAAGCAACACAGTTACCGCCGAGAGGCAGCAGTCGGGGTGAAACACAACTGAGCTGTCTGAACACCAGCACTGAGCTGACCTCGGGCTGACCCGGGTCAGCGGGGACGAGCCGCGGGGCGGCGGCGGGGCAGCTCCTGCCCGGTGCCATTCCCGGTCCCGCGGGCTGCTCCCCCAGCGAGTGGCTCTCCCGAGCCCAGTGCCATTCCCTGTCCCGGGAGGCTCCCCCTGCCCCTGCCCCTGCCCGTCGCCATCGCGGCCCGGAGCGGGGGCCGCGCCGCTTCCGCCGGATGTCGCCTTGAGGGCTCCGCACCGGGGAGGCGCGTCCTGCCCGAGCGGCGCCGGGATCGTCGGTGCTGCTGCTGCTGCTGCCGCTGCACCTCCCGCCCTTCTGCTCCTCCTCGCCGTCCTCATCCTCCCCCTCCTCCTGCTCCCGCTCCGCGCCTGCCGCCCGGCCGTGTCTGACAGGTGAGTGCGGGGGCAGCGGGGCGCGGACCCTCCGCCATCTTCGCGGCCGCCCGAGGGGCTGAGGGGCCCGGGGGGTCCGGGCGGGGTCCGAGGGCAGCGGCGCCGCCTCCGCGGCGGGACCTGCGCGGGGCCGCTGCCGCCGCCCAGGCCCGCGGGGCTCCCCCCGAGCACCCCCTGCCAGCCCGCCCCGCTCCCCTCCGATTCCGGGTGACATGGCTCGCACGGTATTCCTTGAAAACCCAAATAACCGAAAACGAGCCCTTCCTCCTCTCCTCCCGGGTGCCGGGGTGTTTTTGCGCTCCCAGCCCGAGGCTGTAGGGATGGTTCCAGGTCTGCGGACGGTGGTGCTGGGAGAGTCGGCTCGCTAACTTTGTTCGTGTGCTGCTGCATATCCTAAGGACAAGCCCAGCGTAGTGCCTTGTTAGCTTACAGATTGAGTTCAGAGCCTCTGACACATGTACAGACGGAGTAAAAATGAAACGCCCAAATTCCCTGAAGTGGGGGCACAGCTGAATGAGGAAGGGAAGCGCCGTTTGGGGTGGGATGGGGTGGATCTGGCCTTCAGCAGTGGGAGGATGACCTGGAACTGTCCAAGATGGGTAAAAGTTGTCTGTAAAGAGCCAGTTTCAGTATTTCTCTTTTTTTCTCTGCTAAGACATATGAAAACAAGTTTGAAGGATGAATTTATATGCTTAATATATTCAAAGCTTGAGTAGATGTTAGGTTCCAGTTCCTTATGCAAAGACGAGGAAAACTTTCTCAAGTTAAGCGTTGATATGTGGTTCAAGGATATGTTGGTGTTATTAAGGAAAGAGAAACTTCTAGGTGTGTTTTTGTCCCTCTAGTTACATCTTCCAGCTTGTCAAATTTGTTTTGTTTTTGTGGCTTAAAGTGGGCTTTCTGTAACAGTAATTTCATGGAAGGTTTATGTAAAGAACTGGTGGAACAGCTTCTTTGAAGTGATTCAGTGTCATTGAGTACACCTTGAAATTATACAAACGTCAATTGTTCAGGCATTTTAGAACATCACAGCAGTATTTTCTCCTTAAGCAAATTTCTGAAACTGTTTTCCAAGCAAGCCTGCTGTTGGCTTTCTTGATGGTTTTGAAAACGAGTTGGTAACCCTAAGAACCCACAAGTATGTTTTCTAATGAGCAGTTTGGCTTAGATAAGATCTTTGTGCGTGGTGTCAGCTCTAACCTGTCTTGTAATAACTTTAAATAAAGCTTTGTGTATTGTGGACTTGGGCAATTATTTTAAGAAAAGGTGCCTGCACCAAACATTATAATTTAAGGCAGAGGCCACTGTAATGTTGTTTGTTTTTTAGTGCCAGTTGTTTATGTGTATGTTTGTCCCTAAATTAGGTTTATCATGTTAAATCTAAAGATTCTAAGCTGAGACTGTCTATTCAATGAAGACAGGCCCTTCCACCATCTTCTTAAATTTAGGATTTGTTTAAAGGATGCAGTCTTTATTATGGACTGAAACACTTAAGTTTATTGGTACAGTCATGAGATAAATACTGTGATTGTGGTGATAATGTCTTACAAGAAGAGCTTATTTTTATGAAATACTGAAATTGCAAGCCAGAACTAGTTCATGCCAGGTAAGAAGTAATTAAGTGGTATTGCATTTTATAAGTTTGAGGTGAGACTGGAAACATTTTATGTCATGAAATTTTAAGTCTCGGAGCTAAGACTAGTAGCTTGTCCTGTGAGGTGAAGGATTAGGGGGGGCTTCTTCCAGAGACCACTTTTCAAACCCCTCTGGGGAGAGTTTGTTGGTACTCTCTGCGTGACCCCTGAGGAATGGATAAGAATCAGGATGGTCTCCTTTGCAAGCCAGAGTGGTTTGTGTTTTCTCATCCTCGAGTAATACATACAGCCTATTTTTAGGCCATCTTAGTATTTTAAGAGGGTAGGACTGGGTACTCACAATGCTGTCACACAGACTGTTGGAAGGTTCTGTAGTTCTCTGTGCTAGGCCATATGAGGTAATGCTTCAAGAATGTACTGTACAGAGATTATTTATTGGTGCTTCAGAACAGCTAAATGTGTTATAGTTAAAGTTACTTGGCTTTTGTTGAAGTCTTAAGCACTATAAGATTTTAATTTACTGGCAAGTAATATATTCCCAAATGAAGAGCAAAGATATTAGAGGTCACTCTGCTTGAAAAAACTGTAATAGCTATTTATCTGGTACATCTCTAATAAGTACATAAATATTGAGTGTTTAGAGACTAGCACAATAAGATTCTGGCCTCTGAGTGTGGTGCAGTGGTTCCTTAAATAAATACCTGGTTAAACCACCTTTGCTCTTGAACTTAAGATTCCTCACCCTCAGGTCTTGTATTTGCATACCCGTGTGTGCATGTAGGCTACTTTCTAAGCTGTTAGGGATTTGGTTATACCGAAATGGGAGTTGAAATGTCTGTGAAACAGGTAAGCAAACAGAGTAGCCTTCAAACATATTTTAGGATTTAACCAGTAATTTAGCAGGACCTGATGCTGTCTGTTGAACTCTTCAGTGAGTCAATACCCATAAATAAAACAAGGCAGGATATATACTCACAGGTAACTAATTGGTGTTGAATAAGATTATATCATACCCTGTACCATTTAAAGTATTTGAAACGGTGAGCACCCTCAGTGAGCATGGTGGCAAAGCTCTCAAAGGGAAGCTTTCAGGACATCAGCAATTTCACTAAATAGGTCTTAGTCTGATGATAATTAGTGGACTCAGGGAAGTTTCTTCTGTATTCTAAAAAAAAAAATGCAAGTTTGATAATTATAGTTGTCTTATGCTAGTTAATATAAGCTTGTATGGTGACAGTAGCATTTCTTGATTTAGTTGACTGTATGGCAGGCTAGGTCTGCATTTTGGTGTGATTGCAGCATTTGCTGACATAGTTGAATTAGCAAGATCAAAGCTTGCTAGCAGCAAAACTGGGCTGGCTTACGCTTCAGTGTTAGTGTTAGAAACTTGCTTAGGGTAGGTACTTACTAATGTGTTAAAGTTTTTATTGTTGATTTCAGCTGTATAAAGTACTTACAATTCATTGTTTCAGCTTCCTTATTTTCTGTTGAAAGGAGTTTGTCATCTTCAGTGGTGGATGTTTGCTCTCCCCTTTTAGATTTCAAGGAACCTCCAGTTTCATTTGAAAGAATGCTGCACTAAATTTAGAAAAAAAAAATCAATAATGTAATGCTTGAGTGGATTCCACAAGGTTTGAGTACACGCATTAGTGGTTTTAGCATCATCTGTGATGATCTGGAATGATTTTGTTTCCTAAATATTTACCTTCAGCAAAACAACTGGACTTACAAAGCAGTCTGTTTAGCTTGATCTTTCTCAGGTGTGCTGTATCCTTGGGGCTTGCATTGAATTAATGGCACTTGAATGTACAGCATCACTGAAGCAAATGGTTCACTGAAGACCACAAAATGGAAGTTTTACTCCTTTAAATTTGATTTCTTTGCATATTGATAAAGATTGTAGTGGCATATGTTGATATTTAAATTCCCTTAATCATGAACAATGCTGTCAAACTGGGTTACATGTAATTAGGAACTTAATAACTGTAATCATTCTCCTCTTTCTCCTTTACCTCCCCACTTTCTGGAAAAAAACCCAAACCAACCCCAATGCCCCGGTGTTAATGGGCATCTTTGTGTCATAAGGTTTTAATGCTGCACTAGATAGTAATTACTATTGCAAAAATGCCTTTGTGTTTTATGTAGTATACAGTGAAATTTTCTTCTAAGCCATGTTTGAAAATGAGAGACATGAGACTAAGAGATTTAAAAGCACACGGATACAATAAAATTGTATGGTTTTTTATTTTTTAAATTCTATTTTATTTTTGACACCATTGTTTAAATAGTAAGTATTGCTGTTTCTAAACTCTAAACAAAATGGAGCAGGGAGATCTTGGGTAAGATGTTGCTGAAACTTCCTGATGTTTTTCCTTTACAGACTTGTGTGTTGTCTTGAATGAACAAAAAAGGAAATGCAATACTGTGGTCATTATGTCTGTGCTCTGACACATCTTAAAACATATTTTCTCCCTGGCTTCAGCAACATGCATAGCCCAGGAATTCTTTCCTTTCAGCAGTCTGCCTGTTCTGTGTTCAAGAGCAGAAGTCAGCAAGTAGAATTAGTTAATTCCTGCAGTAAAGTTTTAAGTCTGGTAAGGCCAGTGTGTGCACTTTTCGTTAGTGCACACATTTCTCTGCCGTAGTTGACTAAACCAGTAATTGGATACACATCTGCTCTTTGCTGTTGTTACTCTGGTGAAATATTTCCTGTGACTGAATACATGGTAACATCTGTTACAGAAAGGTAGGTGGTGGAACTTTAATTTAACACACGGTAACATATCCTGTGAGTTTAATTAAACTGCATGTCTGAAATACCAAAGTATCTTTGCATTCAGCAAGTAGTAATCACCAGTGGTCTAGATGTTTTCTAGGACATCTTTTTCTCCCCCACTTGTGCTGATTGACTTTGTCAGAAAGGTTCTCTCGAGGCTTTGACAAATCATTGTGTGAGGAGCACTATGCATATCATTTTCCAAAATGATTGAGCAGAATATCTCAGTATGTCTCATAATCTCACTTTTTAGTAATACAGTACTTGTGAACTGCCACCCTTAATGAATATAGTTTAGCAACAGTAAACACTCCCTCCCTCTCCCTTTTTATTTCTCAGAAGGTATGTTTGTTCAGCTTTTTTTACTCTCGATAACTAATTTTTAGCTGTTGTGAATTCAACTTTGATTCAGGAAAGGAGATTCCAATAATTCTTGATGATTTTTCCATGCTATCTGTAGTATTACTAAGTAGAAGGAAAGTGAATTTAGTGAAATTTTCTTTGCAGAACCCATTTGGAACACTTAAAAGTCGTGATTAACTACATCTGAATAATAATATATACAATCGGTTGTTCTGAAGCACTTTTTCCTTATTTTGTTTGATTGGGATTTGGTGCTTAGGCTTGAGCTGATGTTTTCCCTCACCCCCCTTTCCTATTCTAACTACAAAAGTTTAAAGAATTTGAAAGACTTTGACTGGTTTGTATACTACTGACTGTTTTACTAATCAATATTTAATATGGTTTTCATAGGATATGTAACATGACACTGATATTCTGGACAGGTAATTTTCATTGTTTGAAAACCTTACATAATAAGGGGAATCAGGTAACTGCTAGAAATGAGCACCTTATTTTTTTTTAGCATCATATTGCCAAGGATCTGTTTTGTGAAATTTACTCTTGAAAAACCTATAGCTTCTGACTGTTACAATTAGAGTCAAAATAGTTCTGAAATTGTCAAAGTGAAGTTAACATTTAAAGGGACACTGTCGCTTTTTAAAAAACTTAATTTACATCCTGGCTCCAAAAACCCTTAATTACTGCTCCCTTTCCTAAAATTTGTAAGGCTATTTGGTGGAACTCAGGACAACATTAAAGGCAGTGAAGCTGGTCCCCTTGGTGTCTCCTTCCCATCCTCTGTATGCACATGCTTGTGGCCTCTTTGGTTCCAGCTTTGCTGTGGCTGTGTGCACCCTCCTGCCGAGCCTGGGAACAGCGTGCATGCTTGCTCTCTCCAGAACGGTGCATGAGGGATGTGTCGTGCTGGTGCATGAGGAGAGGGCAGTCCCTGGCAGTGACAGTGGCTGCAGGTGAAGTGCTGCTACCAAACAGAGACAGTGATGGAGGTGTGTCCTGCCTAATCCCTTCCGTTGGCTCACGAGCTGTGAAAGTAGAAGCTGTTGTGTAGTTAATGTGAGAATTTCACTATGTAAAGATGTATTCTTGTGCTTTTGACTGTGTCCCTTTAAATTCTGTGTGCTAAAATGTATAGCTGCCAAATCTGTATGGAGTGATGCTGAGTGGTGCAGTTGATTCCTTGAGGAAAGGGACACCACCCAGAGGAACCAGGACAGGCTTGAGGAGTGGGCCTGTGTGAGCATCATGAAGTTCAACAGGACCAAGAGCAAGGTCCTGCACCTTGGGTTGGGGCAGTGCCCGATATCAGTGTAGGCTGGAGGGTGAATGGATAGAGAACAGTGCAGCAAAGAGGGACTTGGGGGATATGGGGGCATGAAAAATCGGACATGAGGCAACTATGTGAGCTTGCAGCCCAGAAAGCCAGGCAATGGTACAGGAAAGACGTGAATCTGTTAGAACTGGTCCAGAGGAGAACCACAAAAATTACCAGAGGGCTTGGAACACCTTTCCTGTGAAGAAAAACTGAGAGAGTTGGGCTTTGTAGCCTGGAAAAGAGGATTTTCTGGGGAGACCTTACTGGAGTCTTTCAATACTTAAGGGGAGCTTCTAAGAAAGATGGAGAGAGACTTGTTAGCAGGCCCTGTAGTGATAAGACAAGGGTTGATGGTAAATCTGCCTAAAAGGGAGTAGATTTAGATTAGACATAAGGAAGAATTTTTTATTATGAGAGTGGTGAAACATGGGCACAGGTTGCCCAGAGAGGTGATGGATGCCCCATCCCTGGAAACATTCAAGACCAGGTTGAGCAACCTGATGCTGATGATGTCCCTGCTCATTGCAGAGGAGTTGGACTGGATGGCCTTTAAAGGTCTCTTCCAACCCAAATAATTTTATGATTTTCTGAAGCAATCTAGGAAAGGATATTTCTTGGTAAAATCCTCTAAAATGGAGTAGCTTGGTAGAGAGGGCAAGTGGAAACTAACACAGTTAAAACAGTGCCTGGTGGGGCATAACCCACCTTAACATCTCTTATGTATAATTGAGTTCAGGAGCCATATCTGGCAGGGATTAGAAATAGGCTTTTTTTCCCCCCCCAGATCTTAAGTGAAATGCTGTTAATGGATTTATGGGATTATATGTAGTTATGTGTATGTATAAATATAAAACTCTTAACAAATCTGTGTGTGTGCACGCAGAACTTAGTGCTTTAGGCCTTAAAAAGTAATCCTGTACATTGCAGAAAATGATAACTGAAAGCTACTGAAAAATAGGTTCCCAAGGCAGATAGGAAGGAGGGTGGAAGAGGGGAAAATATACATGTGTTTGAGATCTGATCCTATTTTGAAAGGAAATAGAAATGAGATGAGCACTGAAAACCTGTTCCTAATTCTTGACCATATGTCCATGAACAGGAAGATACTTATTGAAGCCTAGAAAATTGGCAGTATATGTTTATGGGATGAGCTTTTTTAACTTTGGTCCTGTCTTTGTACAGTAGAGGAGTCTAGCCACAGTGAATATAGAAATCTAGGCAAATAAGAAGCTGCCTGATGGTAGTTCTTTCTTTAATTTGTGAATATAGCTAATTAGTTACTACTGATTAATCACACATAAAAAACTCTGATGGGATTAGGTGCCATGGAGAACCGTGCAGAGTCCAGAGGAAAGGAACAAAATCATTTTAGTGCAGTACAGGTCACTGGTGCAACCTGAATTTTATTTTAGATTCACTATGGAATTGGTGTCAGGTTGCTGGAATTCAGGTGTTTCAAAAGCTAATTAAAATATCAAGCTTTTTAATTAGGATGAATGGGCATCAAAACCTTAACTAAATCTAGTCTCATTTTGATATAAATTTCCATATCTTCATACATCTTGATATAAATTTTTATATCGTCATGCATTTTCATTTTGTGATGTACAACCCAAAAGAGATTTCAAGCTGTTTTTATTCATGGTGCATACTGTCTTTTTAGTAAGGTATGCTTTTCCTTGGCTTTATGATCTGTTAAAAAGCAGAAAATACCATGTCAGAACCCCAAACTGGTTAATACCTGGTCTTGTTAATAGTGATGGTGCTCATTCCTAGCGTGTTGGTGGATCTTAAATTGGAACTGACCCTGGGTTTGGTTTAAATTTTCTCTGATCAACTTATTTGAAGGGAAGCTCAGTTGCCTCGTTAGCTTTGCCAACTCTGCTCTCCTATTTCTCTGCAGGCTGTTGCACCTATTTTAAGTTGTAATTGTTGTTTCAGAAATCATTTATGCTGGAGAATGAATTTTTATTTTGTTCTCAGTTTGCATGATTGAAAAATTTTGACTAATCAATCCTAAAACATTTGAAATGTTTAACAACTGGTACCCCGTGAAACAAAAATTAATTTCGGTTGAGTGTCAGGTTTAAATTAAAAAAAAAAAGTCCTGTAATTAAATGTTTGTAAAAAGTAAGATTTTGACAATAAAGAACATATTCTCCAACTTTATGCAATAAATGAAATATAATTTGATTTTTCTTAAACAGGGGACAGCAGTAGATCATGCATGGTAATATCGATTGGTGATACTGTCAGATGTTTTTAGGGATAATAAAACGCATATATTTGGCTTTAACAAGGTGACAAAAATGAGTCACATCAACAGCAACCTGTTAAGTCAAGTGTACTTTCACTGTTCTCATAAGTTCTTGAGCACTTTTACTATCAAGAAAGTGGTACTGAGAGCTGCTAAAAATGGTAGAAAGTAGATTTCGGAACTTTCATAATGAAAATTAATGAAAATTAATTTTTGCTTATGAGTAAACAAGGACATATGTTAAATTTTGTGTAGTAACACTTACTATTGAATAATACATTTTTAACCTGACAGTGTCCCTAAATTACCATGTCTATTTGCTTTCATTTTCCAGCTGGGTTTTAATTTTGCATGCATTTCAGTGAACTATAGTATGCATAATGGTTGTTTCCTGGAAGCATTTTGGGGCTCTCTCTGCTGGTGTTCTCCAAAATGAGCAAGGAAGTGGAATTTTTTTTCCTTTTGTGGAGGTTCGTTAGCTAATGAATAAGCAATGCAGAAGTGATTCTACTCTGAGTCTGCATATGGTTTTGAACTTAATGTTGTTTGAAGAATAACTGTAAGAGGGATCTCTTATTTTTCATGACAACCCAAACAACTCAAAAGTTAAGTAGAACTAAATATTTCTGTTTTGAGAACAAAAAACTTGAACTGTGGTTGGTTTGGCAGAGCACTTTGTGATGTGTAATGTTTGTCCTCAGTTTATCATAGGAGCCTCTGTGAAGCTGTTTTTTTGAAGTAATGCCAATAGAAAGTGGAAGTTGTGCATCTGCTCGCCAAGCAAAGCAGAAACGTAAATCACACAGTCTTTCCATCCGGAGAACCAACAGTTCCGAGCAGGAACGGGCGGGACTGCAGAGAGACATGTTGGAAGGGCAGGTAAGGTGGTGCTTTGCTGCTTGGGCAACTTTGTAACTTTAATGCGTGTTTTCTATCTGGAGAAAATAAACAAACCTAAGTAATTAAATAGGTCCAGTAAAGCTGCAGGAACAGCAGATTTTGTTGCTTATAAACACTCACTGCTTTCAGAGACCATTGATGTGGATGTTGATGGTGTTTCAGGTTGTGTTGAGATCAAACCTTTTCATGGGCTTTTGTGTATTCTTCCATGAATATATAAAACCATAAAGCAATACAAAGAAACAGCCTGTTTACTTCACTGCAACCTTCTATACCCCCCAAAAAAAGTTCAAGGTTATTTCTTGATTTCCTAAGTTTGAATTTGGAATAGAAGTAATATGAATAAACCAAAATATTTCTTATGGTGGCTCTAATAGGAGAAATATTATTTGGAATGCTGTTCTGCATTCCTTTCCATAAAGCAAACAAACATTGCCTGCTTGACAGAGGTGTGAGCTAACTCAGATTTTTGTTTGGGTAGGGCTTTTTCTTAATTTATTTTTTATTTGTCTCAAATGAAGGTGTGCTCTTCTGTGCATTAAACTCAAGGGAAAGAACAGCACCCACTAACTTCTGTAGCTTCTCTTAATCATGTCAGTCCGTGTAGTGGGTGCAGTCTGGACTTGGAATGTTCCACCTAACAAAAAATTCTGAGATTAGGTAAGGCTTCTGCTGGAAGGGTGTGCAGCAGTGATGGCAAAGATAAGCAAGTATCACTCTGGAAACTATTTATTGTCAAATAAACTTCACAGTGTTAATGTGGGCCTGGCAAAGATGATGCAAAACTCTATTTTTATCAGAGAGATAGTTTGAAACACTAATAGTGTTTGCTGTGAGAAACCTCTCTCTGGAGTCTGCAGATACTCTGGAGGGAAAATGTGGTGTCTTCTCAGTGACTCTCTTTAATTGAATCTATTACTCAGTAAATCATAGCATTATTTTTCTGGGAACTAACGGAACCCAGGTTGTTACTTCCAGTCATCTAGAGATTTGAGAATGCAAGTACTTGGATAGAAAACTGTTCATGCATTTGGGACCTACGGCAAACTTACTTCAGGAAAAGAGTGAATGGCAACTGAGAGGTCAGGACATGCTGTCGCTTCTGCCTAGTACACTAACATTTTAAGCCATTTTAATATTTCTTACCAGACTCTTAAGTAATACATTAATGTTTTAAATGTTTTATCTATTATCTTTAATTTCATTGACCTCGAACAGCCAGTGGAAGTTTCTAACAAGTGAGTATTAAAGCCCCTACACAGTAGAGCTGTAAACTGTGAGATCTAGCTAAGTACGTTCACAGATAAACAGATAACATTATTACATGCTATTTTAATAAGCTAATTTAAATAATGCCAACTTTAAAGAGAATAAAGGAAGTGGATGCATTTGACTATGCTGGTTATTTCGTTACAAGTTTAGATTTGCTTATGCTTTCAGGCTTTCAGAATAGGATTGAAAACCTTTTCTACATCTCCTTTTTGGTTTCCAGAGTTGTAGGATAAGTTAGTTTCTTTCATAACCTTGATGTATGAAATTATTGGGTTATTGAATTAGAAATAATTCCTCTAATTTAAGTGTTTCTCTTAATAGTGTTTGTTTTGTTTAGTATTTAATCAATTTTTTTTCCAAGTTGGTTTTAATTTGGGTATGTTTTGTATTCTGATTGTCTGTAAATGTGTGAACAAAAGTAACCACTCAAGGGAGAGGCAGATGACAATGCAGAAAGGATTGACCTAGGGGGGCATAAGGAGTGTGGTACCACTGCCTTCAGCCCAGTGCCACAGCTTAAACCAGCTTCAAAACTGGTGTAAAACCGAACTGGGAGCAAAGCAAGGGTGCTCTGGGCCGTGGCTGTTAGTGGTGTCTGTTCAGAAATAACTTAAAAAATTGGGATCGTGAAAGGCCTTTCTGGCTGTTCCTGAGGACAATTACCTGGGCTATGGAAGAAGGTGTGGGTGGGATGGAATTCCAGAGGGTCCCCTACGCTCTCTGGCTACTGGAATGGGCATGCATTCCAATTCATTCACACAGGATTGGAGCCAATTCCTTTTGGTTTGGAATTACTGGAACACTGAAGAACAAAAGAAGCTATAATCATCCTTAAGCTTGCATTGAATCATGAAGCTCACTTGAAACTGGCTGGTTTCCTGTGCTAACTTTGGTACTCCTGTTCTAGTAATGCTTCTTCTGGACCTACAAGAGTAGTTTGTGCTGTGGCAGAAGCTGGCTCAGTTTTTTTCTTCATAGCTGGTGATTTCAAGAGTTTGAAATGACATACTTTTGCTCTCCATCAAGTAGATGTTACTGATGGGCACATTGCCTGCATATTTGATAGATGGTCATTGATATATTGATAATATATAATGCCATATTAATTTCACTTTCAAATTTTTTAACCTACTTCCTTACATATGTATTTCTTGGTTTTTGGATACAGCTGCATTATTTACAGTTTTGTCCAGTAAAAAGATGTTGTGTTACTTAATTCTGAGATAATGGGTTAGATTGCTGCAAAGGAGAAGTTGAGCTTTTTCATTGTCAGGGTGAGGCTCAGTAAAGTGAAAACTTCCTTTCAAAAAAGTTTATAGCTGGGTATCTAGTTAAATAATAAATGCAGTAAGACAACTTATGTGTGGTCTACAGGCAACTGAAGAACAGAACAGGTTTAGAAGAATTTTTTTACATGGTGAGCAAGCATGGTTCATCCTTTATCCATAATTATATTGGATTAACTGATTATAGTTATTGACAATATTTTCTCCTTTCTAACTTGCCATCTTATAGTAGCAGGCTGTGCTTTAAATTCTAAGGTACTTGTTAGTAGTAGATTCTCAGTGTACTGCAGTCAGTTGCCTTCTGCTTTACTTGCTGTCTGCCCAACAGTGTGTGATAACAGATTCACTGATACAGTGTGAACCTTGGCTCCCAGCAGAAATAAGTGCTCACTTGCCTTGGATATAGTAGGCATTTTTTTGGGAAACATATGGTGCTGATATCTGTTTTAGAGGCAGATGAATACAATTTAAATAATCTGCCAACAGAAACCCATGGTCAAGCTGTATAATGATCTCAGATCATCTAAATCCTGTGTTAGTTTTTATTACATACATGTTTTTTGTACCTTGGAATTGCTGTGCTGGTATGCTGAAGAAAACAAATAAGTCCTATTCTGTGAATGTGCTTCAAAATACTTTCTGTGACCTGGTTATGATTAGTGACAAAAGTAGATAAATGTTAAAAATATTAAATAAAAGGTTAGTTTGTCTCAAGCTTTGGTGTGTTGTGTTGACAACTTCCTAACTTACTGCATAATCAACTTCTGAATTACTTTGCTAATCAAAGGTATTTTTATTTCTTGAACTGGAAACAACTTGACACTATATTGAATCTTTTTTCCCCCCTTTTATTTTTTTTAATGAAATTTACATATATCTTGGTTTTGTAATTTTTCTCTGGGTAAAAATCCTCCAAACCTGTGGGTGATTTGAATTCTGTCCCTTGAAAGAGAAAGAATATGTAAGCTGAATAATCTTATGATGCATAGAGCTTTTTGTTTTGTATTCTACTCTAGTTCTGATTTCTTGCTACAACATGGAGAGAACTGTTAAAATCAGTTTAAGACTGAAGAGCAATTATATAAATATATGTAAAGAAAATTATAAAATGCAATATTTTGCCTCCTAGGATTCTAAGCTACCATCTTCTGTCCGGAATACACTCCTTGAACTTTTTGGACAGATAGAACGAGAATTTGAAAACCTGTATATTGAAAATTTGGAATGTGAGTATCTATTTTTTCTGGTAACTTATGGATTGTTTGGATTTAAGACATAGTAGCACTAATTAAAGCTTCACCTCGTGTATTGTAGTGCAATTAGTCTTGCTTTTCTGTGGGGAGTTTAAGGATTCTTTCGAACTTGTAACTGAAGATGGAGTTTGTACCTTTTCAGAAAAATTACTTTCTTAGTCCTTGGCACAAGCAGAGAGAACTGTTGTGTGTCATCCCTCTCGACTCCTGGGCAGAGCCAGTGAAGGGTCTTTGTCCTTGTCATTGTAGGCTCTGGTGGATACCATGTTAGTGTGGCAGTTACTCCATTGCCTTTGAAGTTAGTGGCTTTGTTCTATATTTACACGTTAATGATGTCATATTAGTAAATAAAATTGGAAAGGTGACTTACTGGAAAAAGTGTATAGTGGGGTGGATTTGTATCATCCTACTTATACATTGCATAACCAGCACCTGCAGCTGTTCATGAGTTTTGAAGTCGAGTGCTCAGATCAAAACTCCAGGTGGTATTTGTTTAATGACAGTGCAGTTTTCTGATAATGTAGGTGATCCAAGGTGATTTAAGAGGATCCAAAGTTAAGTAACCCAAGCCTGTACAGTAATACAGTAAAGCCTCTGCTTCATTTCCCTTGCTGGATTTTGGAAGCTGTGTTGCATGGCTTGGTTTCTGAATTGTGGAATCTGTCTGATTTGGCTTCAAGTCAATTTTTTCCCCACACCTAATCTGTTCCCACAGTTAAACAAAACACTTATGTTAAAAAAAAAAAAAAAAAAGGACATTCTTGCCTGCTTTTTCAAAATGTGCTGGTTTTTTATTCTCTTAAAACCTGAGATTGCGTTGGTTAAAGGCTATAATCAAAAGTACACATTTTTTAGTGACAATTTGCACAACTGAGTTCTCGGCCTCCTGCTGAGAAGTTGGCTGGTAGCAGGAAAAGTAGAGTTTCCCTGCCCAACTTTTAGAAATGCTTGTCAGAAAACAAGTGGTGGATTTGTACCCCCTAGAGTATGGCTATTTTTCTTCTATTCTGTTTCTGTTTCTTCATCTTCTTTCTCTGCCTCACAGTTCTAGTTCACTCCTGGCCTTTGTGATTTTTTTTATACCCTTCTGACAATTTCTAAAGTTTTCTCATCCTCAGTTATTTTTTTTTCTAGTGTTTCAGTTACTGTTCAGAGAGAATTTGTACAGTCCCTTTCCCTTAGGGCAGTTTATTTCTCGTTTTTTCCTTTTCTTAATCCCTTCCAGACCTCAGTCTTAGTTCTTTCAGGCAATTCTTGTATCTGCCTACTTGTTTCAGTCATATGTAACTACAAACTTGTCTCTTTGTTTACTTCTCTTTCACATTGTCTATGCTTCATAAAAGTTTGGGTTTATGTGAGTAAGAAGACAGGAAAGAGAATCTTGCCTTGCTTATTTCAAGTACTTGAGTGTGGTATGGAGGTGTAAACTGGCTTTTAGAGTGCTTAGAACTCAGAATTCAGTGAAATTCTCAGAATGGCAAGAATCATACTGCTGCTCTGTCACATTCTCTCAAGTGTCCAGACCTGGACTTCTTTCAAAGAAGTCCAAAAAATTTGTGAAAGACAGGCCTAGGTATCTTCTCAAGTGCAGCAAAAAAATGCCTGGTTAAAGCCTTTCAATAAGATTTCACATGAGGAGAACACTCTGAAGATCAGCCCAGATTTTGAGAAAAAAATCTCTAAACCACTGAAAATGTTCTTATAAAATGAAACTGAGCAACTTTAAACCAGTCCCGCCACTGGAGATCATTTATGAGTACCTGATTTGTTCATCAATGCTATCATTCTGTCTTGTATTAAAATGGCACTGGTGACACTTGTAATTGACAGAAAAGCGTAATCTTGTTACATATACATGCTTTGTCTGATGCACAATGAAAATATTTTTACCTTATTTAGTGTTTCTGAAACAGTTGCATGTAAAATGTATGTGCCATTCTGCACTTTTAGAAAATATATTTCAAAGTACAAATAATATACATTTGCTGCACTACCTTTCCAATGAAACTAATAGTAGATAGGCATTTGGGGGGAATACCATTTGGTGATGAATAAAACCTTTGTGGAGAAAGGAATACTAATTCTGTGGCTGAAATATTTATGATGGTGCAAGTTTTCTTCTGTTAGATTTAATTCAGTACAGATGTGCCATGCATTTCACAGAAGCTATTTTGTTAATCCTTAGCCTCATTTATTAGTGACAGTAATTAGAAGCCACCCATACTTTCCTTGGAATCTGGGTCAGTTCAGCATGAGTCTTGGTTTGTCTTGGTTAGACCTGCTTTTATAAAATTGTAGTTGATCTCTTTTTCTCTCCTTAGCATAAAATAGATTACTTACTAACCATTATAATTCTTAAATAGTACGTTAATGATCTTGTTAATGATACCTAATTTTTAGTAATAATGTGAATTTTTGGTTCTGTTAGTGCGTAGAGAGATCGATACACTGAATGAGCGTTTAGCAGGTGAAGGACAGACAATTGATGGAGCTGAACTGAGCAAAGGACAGCTGAAAACAAAAGGTAAGAGAGCCACAAAGAATCCTAAAACACTATTTTTAACTTCACTTTTTTGTGCTTTGCTGGCCAAAACTTAGAATGTTGTTGAAGGGAATTAATACCAGTTACTTAAATAAGCTAATGCTGTATTTGAAATATCTGCCTTTGAATTTATTTGTCTCAACAGCCAGTCATAGTACCAGTCAGCTTTCTCAGAAATTAAAGACAACTTACAAGGCATCTACTAGCAAGGTATGAGACAAATTAAATCTTTACTCATCAGTGTGTACTTGTGAGACTAACGTGACTGTCTTTAAGGTGTAAATTGTGGTTTCTTTAAGCTGAGTAGTGCTGGTCTGCAAGTAAACCTGCCTCATAAGGAACCATATCTTTATCTTGGGTTCATTCATACCCATTACTTCAACCATACTATATGACATTTTTACAATAATTGCTTTCCTCTTCTCAAGAAGGAATGTTGGAGGGGAGAGAGTGTGCATAGGTGTGCATGTGGGATTACTGTTTTGTAAAGAGAACTAAAAAAAATATTTCAATGAGTGTTAACTGAACAGTGCTGTTTCCCAAAATGGATTGTGCTCCAAACTCACTGGGGAGGTGGATCACAACTTTTCTTTTCAATCCATCCTTTATGCTGCTACTGTGTAGGGAGTTGGATTTTTGTGTGTGTGTGTTTTTTTGGCTTGGTTGTTTTTTTGCCTTGGAGGAAATTAGAAGAGACTTAAGTTTCACAAACCACTTGTTTTGTGTAATTCCACACGATTACATTTCTCTTGTTGCCAACCTATAAAGAGTTTAGGTTTTTTCTAGAAAGAACTTTCACTATTTGCTTATTCTTATGAGAAGGCTGATCTTGACTGCTTGAATATTAGTAAAAAATACTGGGACTAAATCAATCCATTCATTTTCTTTGGGAAATGCCGAGGTAAACATTCTTAATTTTGAGTCCTTCATATGAAATTTCCATACTGGAATACTTTTCATCCCTTAGTCGAGTTAAGAGTCTGAATAATAAGTTGGCTAAACTCATATCAAAGGATGCTTTTAGCAGCAAGGGTTATTCCCTAGTGTCCAAATTCTGAAGAGGTGGAGTAGATTTAGTGCTTGGTACTTTTAAAAACAATTTTTTTTGTGTATGTTAATGGGCAAGATTCTGTAACTAAACTGCAGTTGTTTGTATATGCAGGAATCCCTTCTGTGAAATTCATATTTTGATGTTAACAAGATGTTATGGTTGCTGTTAACAATCCCTGGCTATGACAGTTGTTACAACATCAGGAAAGCATCAACTGTTTATGCAGTCCTAAAATAAACTGAAATTATGTAACTTGCTCCATCTAAACTAAATTCCAGGATCTCTGATTCTTTTTAATCAAGAAAAGAATTCTTAAAAGAAGGTATTTCTTCACCCAATAGTTGAAAGTAATAAAACTTTTTGGACTACGTAGTTTTTGCTGTCACTGCTTAGTGTTGTTCCTCAGGAAATTCCATTCATCAGTCACAGAGTAAGGCTGCTGGACTGGTCCTGAGCTGACCAAGTTGTCCTTCTTAGTTCTAATGTGTCCTGTCTGCATAAGAAACATTTTTACAGAGTGCTTTACTTTGTTTGCCATCAATTGTTTCAATTTGTATTCAGTTTTCACTTGTTTACATAGTAAACAATTGTTTCCTTATTAACAAATTTCTGTGTAGAAGGAAGCACAGGAAACTGTGTGAATTTAAGAAAGAGGACAAAGGCAATGCACGCTCAGGATATGGTTGCCCACTTATTTTTGTATGATAATCCAAGATCTGCTGAAGTTATTTAAAAAACTTTCTGTAGTACAGAGACCTCTTTTTAGCAAGTTGCATGTTATGTAAATATTTCTTTACCTGACTTGGAAAAACGTTTATGTATGGTTAACAAAGCAGGAAGTAATCCAGGCCCTGCCTAGTTTATCCAGTTACTGGTATGTGAAGTGAGGGACAGCAAAAAAAAGAAAGGAAAAAAAAAAGTGTAGAATTAATATCTCTATTAGGATATTTACTGTTGTTTAGTGTTCTTGGACTCTTATCTTCTGTGTGTTCATTCGAGACTTCTGGTACTCCAAAAGGAATTTTACACCTTTGACATTAAACGATCAGTGAAACCCCTGTCCAGTACTTCTGGAAAACCTGTGCTTGTTGATGTGTAGGGGATAGTTTCTCCTAGGAAACTTTAGCATGAAGGTTTGACTCCACATTAGAAAGACAGAATGCAAGCATAGTTGGAGTATGGGGTTCCAAGTTGGAAAACTTTAAGTTTGCAGTTTGACCTGAATGCTATGTTAGTCCTTTACTGTTAATACTTATTTCAGCCCTTCCACTTGTCATACACGAGTCTATTTAGTGTAAGGACTATATTCAGTGTGAAAGTTGTATCTCTAGGATTGTTCAAAACTTGTGAAGTTCTGCAGTATCATTGAACTAATAATCTTTATCATTAACCCATTTTCCTTTTAATGCATCCTTAATGACTGTTCCTTCTTCTGCTGTGAAACCAGAATGCATATGAGCTGTTAATCTGGAATTCAAATAGGATGAAATTATCATTTCATCATTGGAGAGTTGACTTGCTCAGGATTTGGAATGCTCTTGCAGATTTTCTTTTAGCTTTAAAAACCCTTTTTGAAGTAATTTGCTCTAATGACATACTTAAGACCTTCTATTTTAATACCAATACCTAATGGGATTTTAAACTTAGTTTATTGTAACTGAAATGTAGACTTAATTAACTTCCTAACTTTTACTAAGCTGTAGATAAGTCTTAATGTGATTTGTGTTGAAGTATTTAAAGGTTTTGATTTAGCTGGTCAGATAAATACCTGCCTGGAATTGCATGCACAGGAAAACACTGATAAATGGAAGTTGTCTTTTTGTTCCAGTTAAGCAAAGCTTTTCAGGTAGTTTTTCTCAAAGAACAGTTATGAGATTGAAGACTTGTGGGGTAAAAATAGGGTATTTGTAGTGGTGTACTTACTTTTAAGTCATCTTTCACAACTCTTGGTTTCAGTTGTCTCTGGAGGTGTTCCAGCAAGGCAAAGATGTTTTGTCCTTTTATTTTGGTTTTGTTTTGTTTAAATATTGCAGTTCACTTTATCTGAAAATATAGAATTTATGAAAGTTGGTTTCTTTCTGTGGATACTGAGTGTTTTCAGCCTTCCTGTACTGCAGTGCTTTGTAGTTTTACCATTTTACTAGACTTCTCTTCCTTTCGTTTGGTATTAGTTATGCACATACTAATTTGGATTTAATGAGTCTTCTCTGCTTTTCCTCTAATAGCTTGACTTGGAGGAGGGAGTGTGCTTATCAAATGTTTAGATGAGTTTGACATATCTTTTATAAAAGAGTTTTATTACACAAATAAACAGGCATGTGCTTTCAGGGTAATATTTGGTTTGTTTAGCTTCATGGAGTTTTAAAGAAAAACAGCAGTGAGTTTTCTGGATTTTAATAGAATTAAGTAATAAGTGTATTTTTTTCCAAAGACATTACACTGGATAGCATGGACCATTTTTAAGTTATCAGATGTACTTCTTTGGGAATAGGCAAAGAAAGTTTTAAGGTCTTTTGCAGTGTTTGGTCTTTTTTTTTTTTTTTCTTTCATGATAGTCCTTACTCAGACTGAATAGGACGTGCACTCAGCACTGGTACAGTTCATTTCTCCTACAACATTACATTATTATAGTAGAGAATAATTTGTCTTACATTCTGAAAAGAGGGAGTATTATTAAAAAAGAAAAAAAAATTAGGAGATATGCTTGCATCCAAACTCACTCTTCTACCATCAAAGGTCAAATTTTTGACAACAGTAAACTGTCAGAATCATGAAAAAGTTAATATCTATTTGTATTTGTGACATAATTACTTAATCTTGGGTCAATGTGCTAAAAAATGTTGGTCTCTCTGCTATTTCAGATTGTATCCAGTTTTAAAACTACAACATCAAGGGCAATCTGTCAACTGGTAAAGGAATATGTTGGCCACAGGGATGGTATTTGGGATGTCAGTGTCGCGAAAACTCAGCCAGTGGTGTTGGGAACTGCATCTGCTGGTAAAGTTTTGTGTTGCTTGAATATTTAGAAAATTCTGATTTAGTCCCTAAGCTGTAGCAAATATAGGTCCAAAGCATACTTGAATACTGAGCTCCACACTGAAAGAGTCCTTTTAAAGAAGTTCTGTAGCTGAAAATTTATTAAAACTGGAATTTCCTTGAAATGCATTTAACCTGTAGAAAGTTCAAGCATCCTTGTTGGTCTTTCTAATGTGCCGGTGAACTTCCATGCAGGTCACGCTCTCCTCAGTCAGCTCTAGCATGTTGGATGGTGTGAGTGGGTGGGATGGGGAGCTGGTGTCCAGTCCAGTACAGAATGCCCTATAGCTGGATACAGAGATCCCTGTAGGCTTTCTGTCCTAGTACTGTGTAACCTTTGTTCAGTAGAAGCTGTAGGTTTGCTCATAGTTTGCATATTCTTGTATTCTTGCATTCATCTGGCTTTTGCCTCAGGATACAGGGGCAGCTAAAAATCTTAATTTTCAGTCCTTTTTACTTTACAAGACTCCTTCCTTCCCACTTGAGAGGCAACAAGTACTAATGAATAAGTCACTAAATCTGTTATAGTCCAAAAATCAATCTAGAGGCTTGTGTAGTCTTAGAAAATTGTTGTGGAAATAAACCATAACCAGATATAATTGGTCAAGTTTGAAGTGACAGTCTTCTGAAGCTGGAAAAGGGACTTGAATATTATGGACCAGAAACCTTGGCTTTGTAACTGAACTGTTAGAATTTTTATGTGCCTACTGAGGGGCAGGTTTTGTCTTTGTCTTTGTCCTGATTTAACTTGGAAACAGCCATTCTCCAGTTCAGCATTAAAGTACTTCCCACTTGCATACTTGTATTATTTATTTATTTTTGGGTGAGGCAGGATAAAGGTGTGGCATTTGGAGTGATTTCCTCTTTAAATAAATTTTTGTAGTGCTCTGCAGTGACCTGTATGCATTTGGGACTTCCATGCAGGAAGTGAATAGATTGTGCATAGATTTCTTGCCTGTAGTGACTGCATGGAATGCTTTCTCTGTGCTTCCTGAGTCTCATGATACACAGGTGGAGTATTATTCAGAAGTATATAAACAAGTTAGGAAAAATATCAAAATTTTAGAATTTGCCTTTCAATACTTTCTGCAAATTAATCTTATTAGGACAACACCTTTACTTTTTTTTGGGCGATATGTATTAAGTTATAACGCTAAGAAGCTTTTGTATTTTATATACAGTTGAAGATAACTTGTTTGTTAGGGTTAAAAATTAAAACCATCCATTTTTAACTATTTACAACTACTTCTTAATCTTTGTAGATCACACTGCTTTGCTGTGGAGCATAGAAACAGGGAAGTGCCTTGTCAAGTATGTAGGGCATGTTGGATCAGGTAAGATATGGGCCTGTTGTGAAAACTGGGAGGGGGAAGTGGGTTTTGGACAACTACAGAAATGCTTATTGTGGTTTCACTTGCAGGTTTGCCAACACCATTAACAAGTCAATTGTGAAGTTCCACTAATTTTCATACAGAGAAGGTTCTGCAATATGATTCTTTCTTGGAGAGGCACATTAAGGCAGTTCTGCAAATGCTAAATGAATAAACAACTCCATATAAAGTAATTTACAGGCACAGTTACGACATTCAGAAGTTAAATGTCAGGACTCATTGAGGTCTCATGCATATGCAGAACAAGAGAATCTTATGTAACCAGAAATTAACTGTCTTGCAGGATATGTGTCATATTTGGGATACAAAATACAGATGCTGCATGAATATCTATCTGTGCTTCTTTGTTTAACACATGATCCTATGTATAATTTGCTGCATAATATTAAATTGTTATCTTGTTTTGAAGACAGTTAATTACGTATTGGCATTTGTCTTCCTTTATACCAGGATGAATATTTCAGAATTTGTTCTTTAAACCCCTTTTTTAGCTGGAAAGGTGCAGTTCAATGAGTGCTTTCATGTTAATCCTAATTTTTGGTGTCCAATTTGACAAGCACCCCATTACTCTTCTTCTCTCTTGTAATGGGTTATAATATAGAATTTTATAGACCAAAATTGGTGTGGTTTTCCTTGGCTTTAACTTGCTGTTGAGAGTTGAGCACTTTGAGTGGAGGGTCATGCACCCTGAAGATGAGAAGTGCAGTTTTTGACAGGAGTGTTTGGTTAAATAACTCAGCACATCACATGAACTTTGTGGCAAGGATACAGATAGAATTAAGTTCTCCAGGGAGTGGTCAGTTGCTTCATCCATTAGTTCTACTTTTTCTTCCTGCTATATGACTTCTAGTTCCTACAGCACAAAGATAGATGCAGATAAACAACTGGCAACACTTTAATTTGTTCAGATATCTCAGGTTGCTTGCTGCATGGACCTTCAGCTTCTATAAAGTCAGGTTTAAAAACTTCAATCACTTGCACTGTCATGCTGATAGTTTTCTTTTAAAATTGCTATGTGGATAACCATGAAAATAGTAAGTTCTAACCTGTATTTAAACAACTCTGTTTAAACAAAAAAATTATAAATTATGCTGTATATAGATTTTATATAATTACATACATATAAAAACTACATTAGAAATAATAGGTTTTTAATTTAATAAAACTTTTCTTGTTTGACAGTTGATTTGAAATAATGCAAAGGTGCCAGCAGTTGATGCACCATTGATTAGTTCAGTTTGAGAAGTGTCTTTTCAGACTTATTACACCACACTCTCCCAACAACATAAGCATCTATTTTACTTGTATGATGGATGGAAATAATTTACAAGTTCTTTCTTGGATTTAATCTTATGCACCGAAATAAAAATGAAGAGCCTTGTAGGTTGGTAGAATTTTTGCAGGACTATTTTAAATCCATCATATTTTGATTACATGTGGTTGCAGGACTGAAATCTGATTTGTATTATTTGCATAAGGTTTTCAGGCATTTATTCTTGCAATCCTAAGTAATAATCAGAACGCTGATGGTCATATATAGTCAGTTTTCATTAAGTTAGAAATAATTATGAATACTTGAATTCTCTTTATGGAAGTCCAGAGCATTATCCGCTGTCAGCTCACTTATGATTATTTTAATGTGGTTTCTTTATCCTCTCTAACATGAACCATTTGAACTAGATTCAGGAAATCATTTTCTAGAAAATATGTAGTCAACTATAGCTGCTTTCTTTGATGCTACACCTTTATCTCACCTAAGAGATTAATATAAAAATTAGTTAAGACTCAAGACGACTTGATTTTTCAATGCTTTTAAGACAAAACATTGTGAAAGAATTCTTTTTGTATATTAACATACAAATTTACTTTGTTTCACACAGTAAACTCCATAAAGTTTCATCCCACTGAGCAAGTGGCTCTTACAGGTAGGTAAAATTTGTTCATATGCTGTTTGTGTTAATTATGGTAGAAAACAAGTATGATTTGTCAGCATCACTTTGCTTGTAACCCTAACCCTGTCTCTGTTTCTTTGTCAGTATCCTTGTTGATTAAATTATTATTGTATTTCAAGGCATAACAAATCAGGGCTAGATTTCCCCAGCTGTGTTTGTCTTGTCATACTGTGCTTACCTGCTCCAAAAGAGACACTTAGAATCATACATCAGATAGAATGTTTTTCCTGGAAAAATTGTGGAGATTATACTGAGTGCTACTGAAAGGCATTTAAAGAATAATGCAGTCATCAGGCACAGTCAGTACAGGTTCCTGTTTAACTAATTTGATGTCCTTCTAGGATAAGGTCACCCTCCTAGTGGATGAAGGGAAGGTGGTGGATGTCGTTTCTCCAGTTTCTAGTAAGGGTTTTGTTGCTATCGCTTGCAGCATCCTTCTGGACAAGTTGTCCAGCTGTGGGGTGAGCAGGTTCACGATGTGCTGGGTGAAGAGCTGGCTGAGGGGCAGAGCTCAAAGGGTTGTAGTGAATGGGGCTACATCTGGCTGGCAAAGGGCACCAGTTCCTTGGGGATCAGTTCTAGGGCCAGCCCTGTTTGATAGATTTGTCAGCAATCTGCATGCAGGAGTTGAATGCACCATTAGCAAGTTTGTTGATGATACCAAACTAGGAGGGGCTGTTGACCCTCTTGAGGGACAGGAGGCCTTGCAGAGGGATCTGTGTAGGTGGGAGCATTGGGCAATGATCAGTGGGATGAAATTTAACAAGTTCAAGTGCTGGATTCTGCACCTATGACAGAGTAATGCTGAGCACATAAATTGGGAGAGGAGTGGCTGGAGAGCAGCCCTGCAGAAAGGGCTCTGGAGGTGCTGATTGACAGCAGGCTTGATGTGCCTCTGGTGTGCCTGGGCAAACCTCATCCTGGGATGCATCAAGCACATCACAAGCAGGTGGGCAAAAGAGGTGCTTGTCCTGCTGTATTCAGCATTGGTGTGCCCTCTCCTGGAGAACTGTGTGCAGTTCTGGGCCCACAATTTAAGAAGGATGTGAAGGTCCTTGAATGAATCCAGAGGAGACCAGCAAAGCTGGTGAAAGGGCTGGAAGGCATGTCCTGTGAGGAGCAGCTAAGGACTTTGTGCTTGTCTGGTTTGGAGAAAAGGAGCCCGAAGCAGCAACCTCGTTGCTCTCCACAGCTCCCTGAGGAGGTGAATTGGAAACGGAGATGCTGAGCTCTTCTCCCTGGGATCCAGTGATGGGATGACCAGGAAGGGTTCAAAGCTGTGCTGGGGAGGGTCAGACTGGACATTAGGAAGTATTTCTTTACCAAGAGGGTGGCCAAGCTTTGGAACAGGCTTTCTAGAGAGGCTGGCATTTGGACAATGCCCTTAACAACATTCTTTAACTTTTGGTCAGGTCTGAAGTGGTCAGGGAGTTGGACTGGATGATATTACATATTGGAATAACGCAGATTTTTGTCTTCTGATGTGTAGTATTTAAGTGGGAGTTTCACTGTAGGAGTAATTAATTTGGTAGCTATTTATATTTTGCAAAATGACTTATGTTCTTAATCAGTACTGAATCTAGGGGAGTAACTGTTGATGTTGAGACTTGCTTACCATAAATTCTATAATGATATCTGTTAAAAAAAGATGAAACACAGACAGTATTGCCAAATGTAACATTAAAGCTTGTTTTTATTTCCCGTGGAAATGCTCTTATTTATTCTCTCTCTCTTTTTTTTACCTCTCTTCTCCCTGTGCAGCATCTGGAGACCAGACAGCTCACATCTGGAGATACATAGTACAGTTGCCTACACCTCAGCCAACTGCAGACTGCAATGTAAGCAATCAACTTACTGCAACTAAACTAATTGCACAGCAATTTCATCAGATACAGGTTTTATGATAAGACTGAATGTTAGATTTACACATAATTAAAAAATTACATGATTTCAGGATTGCCAAAGGTGGGATTTTAAGGTTTTAGTTTAACAGCTATATTTCAGCCTTTCTTTGAAAATAGACTTGCTTCACGTTTTCAAAGGTGTGTGGTGCAGAATAGAATCTGCAGCTGCAAGTGCATTAATTGACTTCTTTTTCAAGGTAGTAAATGTGCAAGTAAATGAAGATGAGTAATTTTTTTGGCAATAATTCAAATTATAAATAATGAAGCTTGTTTTAAACTAGCTAAGTTCGTGTAGCTTTACTTATTGAGGCACTTGTATTAGCTGTAGTTGCTTTGAATTGAAAACTGCTTGTAAAGACTTGTTATTTTGGCATTTATTTAATTGTATCTTTATTGATTTGAACTTACCAGCACACATCACACTATCTGATGTTTTTGTCCCCAGGCCTTTATTTAGTCAGTCTTTACTTTAGACTGGCTTGTTTTACTTAAAAGTACCCTTACAAAAATGTGAAGGCAAACTTAGGTTATAGAATGAGCTTCTCAGTAAAGCTAAATAGAGGCAAAGAGGTGGCTGTATAATATGAGATAGATTTCTGAATGGAAAGTATTTGATTTGGCATTTCCACTTTGAGAGAACAGTACAAATGTTATCTTTTTCACATCCATATAACATAAAAGAAAAATGGTTTTGTCTCGTGTAAGTGAAAAAGAGATTCAGAGACTGATGTTTCATGGTTGGCAAAAGAACTTGTTTTGCATCCAGTTTACATCAGCACTGCATGATGACTGTGTACTGACCAACAGACAAATATTGATGTAATGATTTGATTTTAGTGGATGAAAATATGTCTGTAAATGACTGTCTTCCTGAAGATTAAAATAGTGTCCTGTTAGATGCTTCCTACCCTTAAAAACTGAAAGGAAAAAAGTCACTTGATAAATATGCTGCAATGAAACTCTAGGGTAAAACAGTAAGGGAATATAAAAAACTTACCAGATAGTGAAGAGGACAGATACTCAGAGCTAAACAGTTCAGAGGAGATTTTAAAATGAAGTAGAATCATAGAATCATGTAGATTGGAAAAAAACCCTCTTAAGATCATCAAGTCCAGCTGTTAACGCAGCACTTCCAAGTCCACCGCTAAACCATGTCTTTAAATGACACATCTACATGTCTTTTAAACACCTTCAGGGATAGTGACTCCACACTTCCCTGAGCTACCTGTTCCAGTGCTTGACAACCTTTCGGTGAAGAAAGTTTTCCCAACAGCCAATCTAAACCTCCCCCGGTGCACTTCCTTTTGCTCTATTGCTGGTTACTTGGAAGAAGAGGTGGACTCCCACCTCGCTACAGCCTCCTTTCAGGTGGCTGTAGAGAGCAATAAGGTCGTCCTTTAGACTCCTTTTCTCCAGCCCGAACAACCCATTTTCCTCAGCTGCTCTTCATAAAGTTGTTAAATTAGTTATTAAAACTGCAATTAACTCACTGGTTATATTCCTTCAACTAAGTTTGTGACAGTGAGTACCTGAACAGGCCAGGTGCTGCCGAATTAAGTTGCGCACATTCAAATTGAGGAGATTGGGAAGTATTTACACTACAAAATGTAACTTTGAGACATTCCTTCCCTTCTGCTCTAAATCTTTTTTCTCTTGCATTTTATAGCAAGTGACTGGAGAAGACGAAGTTGAGTTCTCAGATAAAGATGAACCTGATGGAGATGGGGATGGTTCCAGTGATTGCCCCACTGTCAGAGCCCCCTTAACTTCACTGAAAAGCCATCAAGGAGTGGTCATAGCAGCTGACTGGCTGGTTGGGGGGAAGCAGGCAGTGACAGCATCGTGGGATAGGACAGCAAATCTGTATGACGTAGAGACTTCTGAACTTGTCCATTCTCTTACAGGTATTTGTTCACTCACAAAAAATTAAATTGGTTGTTTGTTTTTATATGTGGGATTATTTGTAGATACAAAAACATTGGGAAAATAATTTGTTTCTCTGGAGCACAACATGAGTATGTACAAGACTGGAAGCTGCTGCTCAATGCTGTAGTAGTTTCTAAAATTACCACCTTGTAAATCCCCCCAAGCATGAATTTGTCTTGTTTTAAACTTGTGATTTAACCAATGAAAGTAGTTGTTTTTAAACTGAATGTACCCAAATTCTAGTTCTTGCAAAATGCTTTTGCTGTGTTCAGGGTATATAAAGCAGCAATAACCTACACTACTTGGTGTGAAATGAGTAGTGATTTTTTTTTTTCCCTTCAAATACAATCCCAAACTTTTAGAGCAGCAGTAACATTAAAGTTCAGAATGATCACTATTCTTCTCGGTTTGGGGAAAAAAAGAAAAAATCATCAGCATTTCATTCCAAGTGTACGTGGAAATTAAAAGTCTTATTTTCATTGCGTCACATGTTCTCATCTGTGATTGTAGGGCACGACCAAGAGCTCACGCATTGTTGTACACATCCCACCCAGCGTCTCGTGGTGACATCGTCCCGCGACACAACCTTCCGCCTGTGGGATTTCAGAGATCCTTCTATCCATTCTGTGAATGTCTTTCAGGGCCACACAGAGTAAGTGACAGCTCCTTCACAGGTTTTTACAAGTTCCAAAAGTGTAAATGTATTTAGTTGCTAATCTGAAAGAAGCTGTTCCAGTGCCTTTTTTTTTTTTGGGTTATTAAGTTCATTCCTGTTTTGTGAGACTGACTTTCACAGAAACGCCTAACTGTCATCCTTCAGATGTAACACAGCAGTAGTTAATTTCCCAAACAGCAGCCAGGGCTCTTGGTGTGATACTGCTTACGTGGTAAGTCTTGATAGAACTTGTTATAATTAAAGGTGATTTAAGGTATGAGCTTGTTTTTGGCATTGGTTAGGTCTGTAGTTTGGGGTTATTGTGTTGGTGCAGTGGATCAAGCAGATTGCCTCTGCGTGTCGTGATACTCAGTGTGAAATAAAGGTTACTTCTTTGGAACCAGTGGACCAAAAAGCAGGATTAATTTTTACCCTTTAAAGCTTCTAATTTGTACAAACCCCAAGAAATTAAAGTAAGGGCACTGATTGCTGTGTTCTGTCAAAACAGTGATTTTGATGTAACATCTTTAGTTACCAGTTTAGGCTTAATGTTATTATACTGACTACTGTTGAAGAGGGACAAATGTAGTCCTGAGAATCTGTTACCTTTCTGTTTATCTGAGCTTTGATATGTGGAAAGTGCAGGAATAACTTGGAAATACATTACCCAAGGAAGCAAATCTTTTTTTAAGGCTTCAGAACTTAAGACTTTAGAGCTTGACTGTTTCAGAAAAAATGTCACCTCTTGTCTTCAGAATAAAAGTTAGTTGTTAATCCTAGCCCAAAACAAAACACACAAATATTTATTCACATTTCTGTTTTTTGTTAAATCAAATGTGTAATTTGCATGACTGAGTGTCAGTATCCACTTTTTTATTTCCTCAGCTATTGACTAACCTATATATAAAGCAAAACCTCTTCAACCTCCCCTGCCCCAGGCTCCTTATTTAATAAGAATAAATTATTTGGTGCATCCTAATCATCCTGTATAAGTAGATATCTTCTCCTGACTAGAATAATAACCTTGATTTTGGGGCCTGCATCCTAGAATAGTTTCATGCCATCACTTTTGTACTCTTCTGTCACTTTTTCTAGAATGACTTGTAAAAATTAGAAGGTTTTGTATCCAATTGGTGTTTACACTTTTTTTTTTTTAATGATCTGATTAACTTCTTTGTCCCAGGACATTTTTTCAGAGAAAGGATCAAAACTGACATTCATGTTTTTTCCATATGTTTGCTGAGATCAACTGATGTTGGTCTGGGGTGATGATGCAGACTGAAAAAGCTGTTAGCTGGTGTTTTGGCCTCCATTGCTGAGACCTACAAGCTAACAGGGCATTTATTTTTTATGAATGGAATAGACCTTGTACAACCTCTTCAGTAACTCTTATTCCAGCTTTTAATCATCTTCATATTTGTGTTTGTTGTATCACTTGTCTCCATTTTGTTCTTTGAATGTATGAGTTATTAGTATTGACAGAGGCTTTTCCACCAAATACACCCTAAATTTAAGGGTCTCAAAACTGACTTTAGTATTCAGTGGCTAAGCCTGCTGATGTCCCTGTTCTGTTGAGGAGGTGATTCTGTTACAGAAGGTGAGTGTTTCACTGAGGAGTGCAGGCAGAGCAGAGAGCGGGGGTGGTATTTGGCAGTTGAGGGATTTTATTTTTGGACCTTTACTGTACTGCCTTTTGGCAAAATATTTTTAAATTTCTCTCTAATCAATGCTGTGACAATGTCCTCACGTTAAGCTGCATAGAAGAAATTGTTTTATCTGGAAATTGACTGGAAAATGCATGCACAAAAGAATTTTTTTTTGGCTTTCCTGAGTGTCTCTCTGAATAATTTGCCAAGCTTTTAATATTTTGATAGGCCCTTGGCATCAGTTCTGTAAATTGGATGTTACAGTCATTAACACTGATGATTTAAAGTCCTCAACCATAGGTTTTAACAGCCTCTGGCTGAGCAGCACCTGATGAGGAGCTCATAGAGCAGCTATTTTTTCCCTGTGTATTTCACCAGATCAACTCTTAATACGTTAAACCAATATAATTAGATGCCAAACATCTCAATCATGAGGCCAACATGCCGTGTTTCTTGTGTACTGCAACACAAAATCTTATTCCATCCGAAATTCCTTCTCACTGTGGCTGCACAGCGCGTCCTGGCCGGCAGGTGTCAGCACTGTTACACTGTGTGAGGGTCTGCTGGCTGAAGAATTTGGGGAGGGTGTAATTCCAACTTCCTTTTATTTTATGTGTTAGAGTGAAGATTAAATCAAAATGTCTTATTACTGTCTTAAAATTATAACTGATACTGATGTGTTTAGAGAAAAAAGAATCCTGTTACATGCAGAGTATGATTTTATAAAGCTAATTGACATCAAAAAAATGAAAATAATTACTATGTGTTGTCATGTACTATGTACTATGTTCTGTCAAAGGCAGTGTATATTTTTTACCTATAAGAGATTATTTGTATCTTAAGTGGACTAAGGAATCCCTTATTATTTCAGTGTCCTGAACATATAGCTTCTTGATTAGAAGCAGAATGTTTCTTGTGGTCTACTATTGTGACAATTTAAAAAAATAAATTCTCTTCCAGTAAGGCCAAAAGGAATCATTGTGATTGACACGTCTGTCTTGAGCTTCTTGCATTGACAGCTGTTTGAATTAGGAGGCATTTTTGGGAGAATTGCCAACTGTGTGTGAGGTTATTTCAGTGACAAAGATTCCAACTTATTTCTTGGTGAATTCTTTACATTGCTTATTGTGGTGTTTAATTAATTTCCCTGTTAAACTTTTTGTGCCTCCCTCGTCTGAGTTTGTCTAGCTTCAGTTTCTGTCTTCTGATTTTTATCTTGAAGAGCTTTGTTTCCTGTATTTTCTTCTGTACAAATTACCAGTTCTTATTTACAGGTTACCTGTTTTGCCTTAAAGTATGTTTTTGAATATATTTTGAAATTTATGGACCAATATAGTACCTTGATAGTACATTTGCACTTCAAGCAAGCTGAGTATTTGAAATATATTAAGGTCTTTTTCGAAGTTACATCTGCCTATGGAAGTTTCGAGATCTGTGAACATTGCTTATTCACATTTTTCATATATACGACTGTTTCAGCTCAGTACATGACTTGTTTGCCTGGGCCTTGCTCACATAGTCATAAAAATACCTTGTCACATTTAGTTTTAGGTTTGCCATGTTCATCTCACTTACTTATTCTCTAGTGATTAAAAAAATAATGAAATGGTATGAGAATAAGACTGATGTTTGTCTAAATATAAACCTTTGTTATTGTCTGGTTTTGTGTGTGCAGCAATAGGAATTTGTATTGCTAGTCACATCCCTCAATGAGGAGTTTAGTAGAGCCCTGGGAAAAGGTTAATCTACGTTATAATCCACACACTAACTTGTTGCATGCTAACTAAATTGATGTCATGAGTTAAAGCTTCCAAGAGTTATACTGGGGACTCAAATTCCAATACATTTTTTCCAGCGTATTCTGCTTTGAAATACATGTTTACAAATATATAGCACCAGCTGTTCTCCTACTGAGAAATTTTTTCATTTAGTGGTTATTGATTAGAACTCTTCAAATTGAACTAAGGTTTTGTTTTGAAGAGCAAAATGGTTCTGGCATCTACCTGGCAATTTTCATTCCAGCTTCTTTTCTGGTTTTGTTTGCCAGTGCCTGCACAGCTGTGTCTTGTTGGGGCTGTGAAGGTCTTTGTTTTCCCAACACAGTGACCTAGTTTAATGACCAGTGTTGACATGCTCTTGCATATGTGCTTGATGAGATTTTTTTTGTGCCTTTAAGTACTCTGCATGTGCTTGATGTGTGGAACCTTCTAAAACGTTCATGTTGGAGATCTTTACCATTTGTAGCTTAAAAAAAAAAAAATCTTATTCTGTACAGGTCGAATACTTTACAGATTTTATTAATTTGTTCTGACAGTTCAGTAACACTGGAAGTAAACTGGCAACAGAATGCTTATTAGCTAGTGGATTTCTATACAGCTTTTAAACTGAACAGTGGTTTTGCTGTATATTTGTAGTAAGCTGATGCTTATATGCAGCTGATGAATTACTTGGTAAATAATAAACGGTTTTGTTTTGTTTAGTGACTGTCAAAGGTACACAGTGGTTGGGGACATCTCTCTTGAAAGACTTGAATAAAAATATGCAAGGCTTCTAAGTCTGTATTGCAAATACCATCCTTCAAAGAATAAGATGATGTCTTAAGAAGCAGCTTTGGGTTGGTATCCTGAAGTGAATACCCTTCGTTAATGCTTCTTGATTGTTCAGTGTATAGTAATGTACCACCTTGTCTGGGTGATTAAATACATTTTTGGCTTAAAAAGAAATAAAAGTTTGACTGAGTACTTTTGACCTAGCCTGAAAAAAATTACAAAGTTTGTTTACTACTTTTCAAACTAACTGATCTTCGTGGCTAGAATGAACCAGTGCATCAAGTGTGAATGTGTGTTAGCTGTGGACTCTGTATCTTTGTGTTACTTCCTGAGAAAACTCAGAGAAAAATTGCTTAAGGTGAAACTTATTTCTTCTAAAGAGCTGAGCAAGCTGGCCTATAGCTCTTTTGGACTACAGCATATTCCTTCTTCTTTCACTCTGGTTATGTGGCTGTAGGAGACCAGAAGGGAAAGTTCCTGTTCATTTGCTGCTTGAATGTCTCTGAATATGCAGCTGGATGGTAAGTTGTGCTTCATCCAGAGAACTTTGAAATTAGAGAGCTGCAAATATGCAACTTTTTATTTTCAAACTCCTACACTTGCTGGAAAGTCTCAATTAAAAAATGTAAAAATGATTAAGCAGCTGCTGATTAAGATGCAGGGCTGAATTCTGGCATTTAGTGAATTGAGAGTTAATGTCAAAATGGCATTGCATTTCAAGAGACTAATAATTGCATTAGTTTCTTGGACACTCAGCTTTACCAAGGTCAGCTGGCTTTTCCAGATTCTTGATTCTGCAAGA